GAGAAATATCTCGCGGCGCGAATCCTTGGGATCATCAATCCCCTCTGTTTAACACACCGCGCGAGCACGAGTTCTCATCGTCATAGATATTTTTCGCAACCCAATCTCCCCCGCCTTTCCTCCTCCTTCCATAAATCGGCATCGATGGTGTCGCGTGCAAATCGATCTCCGTCAATGGACGCTTCCGGTGCCGGATCCGACGGCTCCTCCTGCTACTACTCCCACCTTGGGATTCACCGCAATGCCTCCGCCTCGGACATCCGCGCCGCGTATCGCCGCCTCGCCCTGGTACGTCGTCCGTTCGTCTCCCCCATCTTTTGTTGGGCCTGCTTGTAATCGTCGGCTTTCCGGGGTGCTGGGCAGAAGTGGCACCCGGACCGGTGGGCGAAGGAGCCGGCGGCGGCGGGGGAGGCCAAGCGGCGGTTCCAGCGAATCCAGGAAGCGTATTCGGGTAAGCATCGGTGTTAGCTTTTCGTTCGTGCCGTTGGCAGTCGCCGTTTGGTCGATTAACGGAAGCAGCGGTCTGGTGTTCCCCGCAGTGCTCTCCGACAAGGGTAAGCGCGCCATGTACGACGCCGGCCTCTACGATCCTCTCGATGACGACGACCAGGTACTCTGCTGCTGCCTTTTTCGAAAAAAGGAAATTAATTATCAATTTATTATATATACCTATATTTTGGACGGCCAGGATTTCGCCGATTTCATGCTAGAGATGCTGGCGATGATGGACGGTGTCAAACCGGAGGTAAGGTTTCCGCACTCGTCCGCTTCTTATTTCTTTAGATATCTACGAAGACCGCATCACATAAAGGTGTGATCTCTGACACAACTGGCAGAAGCCGGACACGTTGGAGGACCTGCAGCGGATGCTGGCGGAGATGATGGACGGTGATTCAGGGAGCTGCGGCGCCGGGGCCCACTCGAGTGGCCGTCGAGGGCCGTTGGATTCGTCCAGGAGGAGCCGTGGCGGTCCCACGCGGAGGTGAAGCGATCTCTGGCCACGTACTCGTTTGGAGGAGCGTCGAAGTAGTGGGGTAATGTTATCGATGGTTTGGAGCAGCAATGTGATCCCTTCGAAAGAAGAGTACAATTGTGGCTCCATGTGCGCGTAAGTAGATTTATGGGTTTGTTTTGATCAAACGTAATGAGTAGTAGTAGTCTAAGGGGTTGAGTTAAATTGGTGTTGGGCCCGATCAATCTCAATTGCAATTTCTATTTGCTGTAAGATCTCACTCACATCAGGTTGGCACCAATAGAACTGCCAAATCGCAAAATCATGTTTATAAATAACTCTCAAGATTTGTCATTTTCAAGCTTGGCTAATTGAATCACCCAACTTTAGAAACAAGCTTAAATCATGATATTTTACTTCGTAAGACAACTCCCAGAGCCCATCACGAATTACCTGAGGAACTCTCCTTTGCAACCCCATCACAGCCCACACTTTACTACTCTGAAGAAGGTGAGAAATATGACAATCTATAAGAAGACAGACTACAACTAGACATCTTTCTTTCGGGGCTACTTTGTTCCCTGAATCAGTGATAATAAGAGAGAGATGGAATGCATGCATGCATGTGTTTCTTTTATGTTCACTAGTTAGCTATTCAACTCTCGGAAAGTTTGGCTTACGATATGTTGCAGTTGTGCTGATTACCTTTTTCCAGTGAAGTGGAGTGTAAAGGGAGGTAATGCTGCCTCATGTAATGATCACTCGAGCAGCCACTAAAGCTTAACCCTCACAAGTCCAAATGACTTTTTTGTTCTGGTCATGCTTGATGCCTGCTGCAGCAACGAGAGCATGCTTTTGTTTGCATGAACGTGGCTTTCCTCACGCAGCACTGAAACAAGCTGCAGCAGGCTGCATTAGTTCTTGCAGCTTTCAGCCAGCGACAAGTAGTAGCTGGTGGCCTATCGGACTTCTCGGTGCAAGCAAGTCACAGTGAGATGCTCCAGTCGTCTTCCTCGAACAATCGCAAGAACTGTCTCACCTCAGTCAAGAGTTGAATGCTCTCAGTACACATTCTGAAGCTCCAAGGATCGAGAAGACCGCCACGCCTTGAGCTTATGCTCGGATTAAGCTCGACGAAAGAAATCCAGATAAATAATTAAGAATTTTAACATTGTTGCAACATCTCAGTCGAGATAAAGATTTCGAATTGGATTATTAGTGATCTCAAAAACTTAAATTGTTAGGAAATGATCCAATATATATGAATCCTTGGCCAAACGCTTGTGCTTGCTGCACATAATACTGTGTAGCATTGCAGGTGAACAATAAAGCCACTGACCGAGAAATCGTGGCAGGATACGGTCATTATTGATTGACTGAAACCAAAACACAGTTTGTAACATGAATGTACCATTAAATTCACTGAATCTACCATCGAGGGCCACAAACTAAAGCTCCAGTGAGTTATGACTTACTAGTTACAGGGGAGGACCATGGCGCATTGAAGAAGCTGGTCCTAATTCTCATGAAAGGCCAACCTCAACGTATCTGTGTTACCCAAGATGTGACAAGGAGGTTCACGTAATTAAAGGAAAATGTTACGTCTGTAGAACAGAAAACACACAAGTCCACAGAAGCTTCGGAGAGAGAGAGAAAGAGGGGTAATCTCTTGAATGGAAAGACCAGTATTCCATGCAGCGGTGCAGTCACTCCTTTCTGCAGTTTGATGCCAACAGTAACTGTGGTCCTTATCTTTGCTGTTCATTTACCATAACAGCGTAAGCTTTTAATGAAGTCAGGGGATTCACAGTCGTTGTTTCTTTACTGCGACCATGATGGCTTCCATTAATTCTGAAGTCGGGAAGTCAGGTTGCATGCCTGCATCTTAATTCTCTTCAGTGTTCCATAAGGTACGTGGAAAGTTGAATCACGTAGAGCATATCAAAGAAGTCTTCATCTCCATCAATTACTGCATCTCTCTCTCTCTCTCTCTCTCTCTCTCCCATCTTGAATCTTAGTCAGTATGTGAAGCACTCCTTTCTGTGGAGATCATTTTGCTTATTACCTCCTTTTTGAAAGTATAGGAGATGCATCTTGACATTTATGCAGCTAAAAACATAGTGCAGCCGACTATGTTGTGCAAGTGCAGTCTGAGAAGATTTGTTTAGCCAAGAAGAACACCCTTCACCGAGCCAGGAACAGTGTGTAATGAATACAGAGCGAGGGCATGACTCGATGTCCACCTCGAAACAATACCTTTCACAGTGATGGAAACCATGGCTTTCAATACCAAAGCAACAGCTGACCCTCCTTCGCTCACCATTGCTTGGCGCTGTTGCCACGTGGGCGCTCTTCCGGAGAAAAGTCTTCCGGTGGAGCCCCCCTCCCTTTGACTGATCTCCATAATTCTCCTTCTTAAACACCGAATCATTAATTTTTTTTATATTTTAATTACAAAAAAAAACTCATATATATTAATATATTAATCGTGAATAATCAGTTTCGATTCAAAAATTATTGGTTCAAAGAATCATCAATTTTAATTTTAATTCTCATTTATTTGAAACCGATTATTTTCCCCTCTTCCTTTATATCTTTTTTATACATAATATTATAATGTCAGTACGTCTCCTATTCTTATAGCAGCAACAGGTCGGGCGCGAAACAAGACACGACAGCCACAGCTCCGAGACATGATTGATTGTTTCTATCACATGCGACGATGGGCGTCCGGCAGTCTGTTCAACTGCAGGCTTCAGCACATTATTCTCTGCCTGCCTTCCTCGAAACCTAATGGGAAGCTGCTGCTTGAAGTTAGACCTAACCCCAGTCCGAACGCTCATGTCAAGCTACTCCCTTGTGAGTCCTTCCAAAGACTACTGAATCATACATACCCAACCTCTGTGGCCTTACCTTCTCCTCCTTGTGTCATTAAACCCACCTTCCTCAGTGAGTACTTATATCCCTCTGCCCACTTCACCACCGAGTACACGTCTCAAGTAGTTCCCTGGGTCTCCTTTGTCTCACCTGCTCTTTGATGATGTTCCAAGGCTTTCTTAGCTGAGGTGATGACTGTGGTGAGAGATCTTTACTGTTTTTCGTATGGTTTTGTTTCGCCTGCTGTTTTGATCACTTCTCTTACATGTATTTTAGGTCTGAAGCCGGAGGATGGACGATAAGGACTCAGTAAGAGGGAAAAGAAAAGAAAGCATGCCAATTTCCACCTTTTTTTTATGGCCTCCTAAATCGTTTCCTGTTCTTGCAGGTAGCCTCCTTGGATCCTACGGCGGTGCAGGAAGTCATGCCTATTTCCGCCGTCACCGACGTCGTAAGAAGTTGGATTAAAGGTCAAGGGACGCTAGCGTTCCATGGTCGTTTTATCTTCGGATGCAGGAGTTGGTCTTTGTCGGTGTTATCTAATATTTCTTGTTAGTTCTGGAATGGTGTTATCCCATCTGAGCTTTTCTCCCTTCCCGACTATCCTTCTTCAAACCCCACACCACTGCCCGCAAGATCAACTGTTCTTGACCTTGTAAGACCTTTTCTTGATCTTGTAAGGCCCAATTCTCCATCTGTTTTCCTCGTCGTCTGCTTCATCTTCATCGTCTCCTCACTCCACGTGGAACGAGTCAATGCAAACTCTCTTCCTCTCTTCTCGCTCCTCTTCTGCCCTCCCCTCCTCTCTATCCCTCCTGAGCTATTTCACTAGATGTGCTTCGAGATTATCTAGCTCTTCTTACTTTTAAACTTGTTAAGATCCACTTTGAGAGAGGAGCTTTAATAGGTTATCATTTCTAAGGTAGAATATCTCCAACTGTTTCAATATTATTATGTTTTGCAGCCATCCATTTGTTTTGCTTCACATGTTAGGCAGTATATTCTTCTTCCCGTCATAAGTCGAGCTGGTACAGCATGTACAAGGCTATGGATCTTTTCGATGCTTTTTGTATGCCAGTTTTCTGTGATTTCCAATGAAATATGCCTTTTGGTGTTATCATATTATTGTTTCGGAGCTTTTCCTTGCAAGACTTGATAGAGAAGTATTCTTCTGTACCTACAGAATGATTCATGCTGATATGATAATATCTTGGACTTGATCACTGGCTTGTCGTCATTCACTCTAAGCAAACTGATGCGCATGACATCTGTGGAAGTTCTAATACCTATTTGATATGAATCTTTGAGAAATCTACTCCTGTTTTATGCATCCATAAGGACAATTCTCACCAACTCAAAACTCTGGGCTTTGGTGCTTAGATATGATATATGTATAACAGAAACAAATAGCAGATCATCTGACATTATTATCTATATATTTCCTTAACCAAAGTCTTTCTGTATCCTTTCAGTTTAAGAGAGAGAGAGAGAGAGAGAGGGAGAGAGAGAGAGAGAGAGAGAGAGAGAGAGAGAGAGAGAGAGAGGGAGAGAGAGAGAGAGAGAGAGATGGCACATTGCAGCATGCATGACATTAATGTTTGTTGACCACAGATATGCAATGATGAGTTTTACAGTAGGAAAAGTTTGAACTCCAAAGGAGGAGACAATAATGAATATGGGAAAATGCATGGGACATGGCTTCTTGATTAGGATGTTCTAACTGCTGTTAGAAAAAGAATATATTTGTTTCCACTGCCTTTCTTGTTTATTTATTCTTTTTTTTTTTGTTTCTTTTTGCACTTAAAATTCCTCCAATGTCAATAAAATTAATGCATAACTGCAACCCATTATGATTTGGAGGTGATTACACTCTGACTTAATAAGATATTGCCTCTACAAAATAAACAATGTCAAAAAGAATGAATAAGATTTTGCACTTGTTTTTCGCTGATATTTCCATGAGTTGTAACAAAATAGGAAAGCCATTGGTAAGAACAGGTCATTTCTTAACCTGTAAAGGCCAAAGATACAAATGCTCTGGCACCAACTTTCGCCACTAATGGATGTGATGATGATGGTGTCCCTATGGCCCAGCATGATGCTCAAAGGCTGTGATGCTTGTGATTGGAAACCATGCCCAGCTTCATCTTCTTTTGGTGTCCCTCTCTTTGTGCTAAGCACTACAGCTTGTCCACCACCATCGGCTCACACACAGCTTTGCAATCATGGTGCTTTTGAAATGCATTTATGAGGTGCCCACCACCTGGTCCTAATCTTGGAGTAATTCTGCTTTGTATGTTGCAATAGTTGTTTCATATGTTAGAATCACTTATCTTGCAATGCTTTCTCTCTTCCTATTCAAAGCTCTTAAATGACAGCATCAATTCCCAGCACTGAAATGCTATCATACTCTGTGCCAGGTATTTAAGGAGCTTCCAGTGATTCAGAAAAAAAAAGAAAAGGAACTCATTAATAACCCTATTACTGGTCAAGAACAATCATAACTGATCCTTTACAGAAATAATAAATAGTGGATTTCAGGTGACACACTTTGTTGTCATGACTGCTGCTTTGGATTAAGTGAACTCAACATAGATTTCCACATGCAGTTACACTCTACTGCAAGAACACCCAACTTCTTCCATTTCACAGACAGCTTTACATGAGACTTTGGGACTCTCTAAAGCTTTGGTTTGTGTCGTCTTTTGCTCACAGCTAAAGTGAAGCTAAGAGAGCTTCCCTCTAGGCAATGAAAACTTGGAGATTTCCACTGTCAATCATCTCTGAGTGGAAAATTGTCGAATAGGGAAGGAAGGAGACTGCCTGCAACCTGCAAATTTGTGACCTTCCTGATGTGAAGAGAAGGTTGTTGCCATGCGGTACAGGAAGACTCGTAATTAATTTAGATCATGCTCCTTGCTTGGACCCAGACATGCATGAGGTCATTAATGCTTCAGACAAGTACATTAAATTCTATGAAGTACTCATGAGACCAACTAAGAAAAAGTTGGTGACATGTTGGGCATTGTTGGCTTATTGTCCATTCCTTTTGCTGATGAGTATGGTGTTTGTCTTCGCCTGTCCACACATGAGAACCCTACTGTAAAACCACGAGGCGTTGAAGAACAAGCATGTTTCAACATCCGGACTTCATATTATGATGAGTAGAAATATAGCAGATTGATTCTCCAGTTAACTACAAGGGTGTGCTTGGGTTCAGTTCATCATCAGAGAGAAAAAGCCTTCAAATTGCCACTGTCTACTTCTCCTTTTCAGCAGTTCTTGCTGACTTGATTAATGACACAACACACACTCCTAGTTAATATAGAGAGCAACAACAGAACCTAAAAGTATTGTAGCTTCAAATTAAAACCCAATCAATCTCCCAGTTGTCATTTTTGACCCTATAAATCACAGTCTCATAATGCCATTGTCACAGAAGCACCTCCACTGAGAGAGCTCTAACCCAGATAGCTAAAAGTTTCTGAAGATTAATGTGAGTGTAGTTCAGGGAAGAACCGTGGTCAAGCTAGTTGGCAGGTGTGAGTGATTTCTGCAGGAGCTGATGGTGGCTCTCCATTGCAAGGTTGTGTGACCTGGTGGAGGAAAGGTTTTTCTTGATGGTTCTGGATCAAGTCTTTTCTTGGTGAGCCTGATGGGAACTGTTAGCAAAGCCTATCTTTCCACTAGCAGCAGGAGACCTAGCAAGTAAGGACCTCTGGCCATTGACCTCATCCTAGAGGGCTGTTGTTTTCAGTGCATTGATAGGGATCATTTCACTAGGGAGTGTAGCAATGGCCATGTCCACCTTGCTTATGAGTATGTTGGACACATGTTGCAGTCTCTAGTGTAACAGTTCTATTGCAAGAATGGGGAGTTCAATGAGTAGCATCAGCTTTAGTTTTGGTGGTTTGCCACGTCAATCATGTCGCAGAATCTATCTAGTTCGAGATCACCTTCGTCACAAACATAAATGTCGGAAATTAATAGATTTCGTTCAACAATCTCCAAAAACCTAAGTCGGGATGTATCCGATAAGTGTTCATTGGTTCAGTTCATAGTGGGCTTTAATAGCCCACGGTTCACTTTAGTCTCAACTCTCCTTTTTTTTTTAACCTAAACCTAGATCTATAAAGGGGCTTGTGATGATTGCGAAAAGGGCTGAAAAAACTACAGTAATACGATTCAAAAAAAGAGAAGGAAAAGATAAAAAAAAATAAGAGAAGAAGGAAAAGAAAGAAGACAAAAACAATATAGATACTATTCTCAATCATCTATTCTTATATTAGATTAAATCAAATTTACAGTATATTTTTATTATAATCACTTGGGGAGATTTATGATATTGTGCAGAGTGACGTATCCTTATATCACAAATATTCTCATGTGATTGTTGCTTAGATTTTGCGCAGGAGATTTTGAGATTTGTATATTTATTATTTTTATGGTAAATTTTTTCTAATTTTATCCTATGATTTTCACCTTTCACGTTGGAGTCTTATTTAATTATGATTTTTGTTTAATTCCGTTCTATGTTACGATTTGATTGTATTTGTTCGTATACAAAATTTCTTTTCATCCCATCAACAAGATTCATCTGCTCAAAGTTAGAATTTAGTTTAACGGACACTACTTTGTACTTAAGAGATTATGCGCTCGATCGATTCAATTGGTGTAGCCGATTAATTCCTTAATATATGTAGCAATCAATAGGGCCAATTTTAAGATCACAAGGCTCCCGCCAATTACTTGAAATTAAATACCGACATCCAAAAGTAGCTACAGAATAGTGATGTCAGAGGAAAGGAGAAGGAAGAACATGATGAGTTCAATTGCTCGACTCTCAAAATCCTTGGTTTGTCTCCTTCATCGGTAGGATATCTCCCATGTGACTTTCCATCAGGAACAGCACGTTCGCTTGCATCATCCTGTTGGCTTCCCACATACGGCAATTAATCCCGGCTTTTTGAGCACATCATCATATAGCAAATGGATGTAAGGTTGTAAAGCCGGAGAAGATGTGCTCTAAAACTTACAGACTGCACAAACTCGCCACTGTTCCCGTCGTTAAGTCTTACGATTGGTCACTAAATCATTGCTAACAAATTAAAGATACAAAAGCAATTCATACGCCATGGCAGGAGAGCAGTATTCCGTGGCGAGGCGGCTGTTCATCTTTTCTATAGTTTATCCAATGCAACGCAATGGAAACCAGATGATAAAAGCAAAAAGAACAAAAAGGAAGATGTGGGTAATTAAACTTCGACGCACCAACTATATGATTTGGTAAGGAGAGTTACTAATGGCTGCAGCAAGTCAGGCGCCATGAATCTTTCTTTTAGCGGACAAGTCCTGTCCTTTTGGTTAGGCCCTTCATGGGGATAAGGCCTCTGCCACCACACAATATCTCGTGGTTCCAATGGCTTGCTACAAATGCTGGGAAGATGAGAAAAGCCAGATGCATGGGTCTGTTAATCTTTCGAACATGCACGATCGGTGTCTTTGGTGGAAATGGAAGAAGCAATTCCAACATATGTTTATGCCGAGAGTGGTAAGCTTGGCTTCCCATTTCCTCCTTGATTTCTTACTTGCTGGCGATGCTTTCAGTACACAAGTGGGAAACGCTGAGGGATGGATGCTTACAGAAACCTATCCTTGTCGTTTAGACTGACAGTGCTGCATTAAGCGTGCCATAAATATTGGCAGTACTTTCATTCACTAATCTAACCTTCCACGCAAAGTTTCGGTGGAGGTAATTGCCAGGAAAAGAGGAGGAAAACTTGTAAGGTCGCAACATAAAACATGAAGGCTTTCATCCACGATAAGATCGGAGAAAAGCGCGAGAAATGGCAACATACAGCAAGTTCTATCGTCAGCGGCGGCTGCGAACAGGAAAGGGAAGAGCACGCCGGGGAAATTATTTGGCCCGAGTCAACGTTGACTACCGATCGGTGCGGCCGAAAGCACCACGCTTTCCGTCAGATGACCCAAGCAGGGGCCCGCGGCGTTGACTATTGACGACCGTTACGTGGCGGGAAGACTTCCGAGCTTTTTCCCGCCACGTCATCCGGCAACTCACTTTACTGCTGGCGTTACACGTCGAGGGCGGCTGCTGTGACTTATTCACGCTATATTGCTCTGTAACGGGCTGTTATGTCGCCTTATATTTGTAATAATTAGGCTGTAGACTACTGGTTTAGCTTAAGGATTCTCTAATCCTCTTTGTTTCCTTCACTTTGGACATGTCTCGGCTAATCATTAGCTGCTGCTGGAGGAAGCGGTCATTGCTTGCGTCAGATACGTCCACATGCATTGCATCTACCACTTGATTTATAAGCTCAGCATCGGATTAGAATAATTATCTTAATAAGGTTGATAATAATGTCACATATGTCTATAACTTGATAATATAATGATCATGGAGAGTAAATATCTCTGCAAGTGGCAAGTAAGATAAAACATCTGGGGAGCCGCTGCTTACAAGTGGCCAACCATGATGATAGGAGTGAATTGGATGGAGACTTGCACCAAGTAGAATGTGTGTGTGTATTATCCCCCTATTGTTTTGTGTCCAAACCAATGGATGTTTCAGACAAAACCGGCAGTAAATTTTGCTTATGGACAAGCACTGATCATAAGTTCCACTATGACGGCAAACATCTTTATGACATTATGGAGAAGATGTACATGAGCGGTTTGCATAGCTCAAATTAATCGTTCTCAATGAGGTCAATTAGAACATACACATACCAAAGAATGAGATTAAAACCATATGTCCAGTGTTGAGGAAGGACAGAGATAGCAGAGGAGAAATGATTGGAGGAGTGCTTGAGAATGTTTTCCCTCTCTTGTTTTTATTTTGCTTCGATCATCTTTTGCCTCCTTTTGGCCCCCAAACTTCCCATTTCAAAGCTGCTGTTGCAACCAGATGTCGTCCACGCTCCACAAGCTCTCCCCCCATCCGCCGTGGTCGAAGTCCGGCAGGTCCGGGCATGCGTACCCGCCGGGGCTCGGTAGCCGAGGTTCCTGAATCCAGTCGACGACGGTGTCGTCGCCGGCCTGAGTCTCGCGGCTCCCCGTGAAGCTCTCGGAGACGAGAGGCGATGAGAACAAAGAGTCGGTCGTGTTTTCTGGTGCAGGCTGGGCGATTGGGTGGAGGGGCTGCATGGGAGCCAGTGGAGCTGCAGCATTCTGATGCATGGCGGCGAAGGAGTTGATGGAGGCCTCGCGGATCCTCTCGACGAGGCGAGGCATCCATACGTACCGCATGATGTCCTTGAACTGCTTGCTGTTCACGTCGCACCGCAGCTGCTTCGCGTGCTTCTGCACCCTGGTCCTCCAGTAGTTCTTGATCTCGTTGTCGGTCCTCCCCGGCAAGTGCTGCGCTATCTTCGACCACCTGCGTCACACAGTTGATGGTGATGGATCTCTCCTCCCCCCCGAAGGACTGGATTAATCAAAGGAGTAAAGCTCACCGGTTTCCCAGACGAGAGTGGAGCTCGAGGATGAGAAGTTGCTCTTCGGGGGTGATGTTGCCACGCCGGACATCAGGGCGGAGATAGTTGAGCCATCGGAGCCGGCAACTCTTGCCTGTTCTTCTCAGACCTGTTTACGGAAATCAAACAAAAGGTCGAGGGGATGAACCGAACTGCATACTTCTTTCTACCAAAGCCATGCACATGAAGAACAGAATACAGCAGCCAAGAGGCGATCGATGAGCTGAACTCCACACCTGCGCAACGAGCAAGGGAGTTCCATCGTCCCTCGCCATGGGTAGTGACATAATTCATCAGTATAAGGTCCTCATCCACGGTCCAAGGCCCTCTTCTCAGGTCCATCCCCTCTTCGCTTTGCCGCGTGGCAGAGCTGCAAGGCCTTCCATGAAGCTCCATTCTGCCTCTCAGACCGACGCTTTAAGAGTGTAGTATATCGAAAGGAAGAGAGAGAGAGAGACAGAGAAGGAGAGGGAGAGAGAGAGAGAGAGAAAGAGAGGTCGATACGATGAGATCTGGAGAGAATAGGATTGGGTTGGAACTATTTGATCCAAGAGGTGGCGTATTTATAGGCAAAAGAGAGAGGCGCAATGACATTGGTTTCGGCCACTCAAAGCCAAAAGAATAGGCTTTTCACAGTATCAAACCGTGTAACGAGGGCTTTGCAGTTTGACTTTGCTTTCTCTTCTTCTTCATTTCCTCCTCTTCTCTGTCACAGTCAGCTGCCTGCCCTCCTCTCTCTCTCTCTCTCTCTCTGTTCTCTTCAAGTGACTCTGTGTCAGCTGCATGGAGTTGAGAAACCGATGGGTTAGAAAAGTGGTAGAGCAGGCTGCTTCTTTTGCTGTTGTCCACTGTGAGAGAATTGGGTGTAGTGCATTAGGATATCAAGTGATAGGATTTGATTTGGTCACGTTTTCAACGTTAGGCAGTCTCCGGACGGCATGGATATGGATTAGAGGGCTACGTGGCCTCCTTCTCCGTGATTTCTGTTCAGGTGAAGGCTATGATATGATTACAACATCGAGCTCAATGTAAATTATTCTGCTTGACTTTTATGAACATCGAGGGCCACATATTTTCTAAGCAACAGATGGCTGTGTATCGGGTTTCACATTCTCGAGTAGATTGATGAAGAATGTGTGTTGAGTTTGGTCTCCTTCTATTACAAGTGGTTTGATCAATTCTTAGTTAAACACAAGCTTACGGCTTGACGTTCTTTGTGATCATCTTAGTTATATATATATATATATATATATATATATATATATATATATATATATATATATATATATCAATAAAGCAAGTGGACGTTGATGTATTAGGTTGTAAAAACAATTTGTAGGTGATTGATGGGTATGAAAGCTCGGTGATGAAGTATACATACCACCAGTTGGCTATCTGTATGTTGTCTCGAATTGTATATACAGTAGTAGTTCAGGTTCTTTCCAACATGAATGAATGGGACAAGTGCTTTGGCTACCTACCTTTAAGGACAAAAAGGAAGACGACACACCATTCATTAGCCCACCTGTGGAGTGTATGCTGCATCCTTTTTGGCGTCTGCACTTTAGGTTCAAAAGGTGCTCCGTTTCGTCTAAATGGCAATTGATGATGCACACTTAAGCACCTAATAAATGGATATGCAATTGACTTTTCCTGACTTGATTACGTCCTCCATTATGCTTTGGATTAGCAAACAGGCACATTAGATCGACTTTGAGATATGTCACATGAGCTTTTAGAGATAGTAAATATTTTACTACACAACCTAACTATATCATTTTAACACTCAAAGAAATTATTTTTTTATTAAATAAAATTGAATTATATAAAATAGTGTCTCCATATATGATATATGGTTTCCTAATGAACAAAATATTGAACTCTTTATTGTCCTTTTATGCTCATAATGAGCAAAAAAAATATTGACTTTCATCGAAAAAAATTTTGTTCGATGTATCTTAATATTTTTTTATATGATGAGACTGAAATAAGATATAAAATAAAATAAAAAAATATTTTTATTACTCATAATTTTGATTTGAATTAAGATACTAGTATTTTTTATGCTTGAGAGAAATTTATAAGCAAAGAGATTATCTTTATAACCCTCGATCTTGACCATTGAAGCCATAAAGAATGATGTCATACTTATTATTCATGTATATCTATATACAACGCATGCGTCTTTTACTTAATATTGAACAGTTGGAGGTAAGCACCTTTTTGAATGTGTTCATGGTGACTTTTTGTGCTTTCAAAGTGCTTTTTGAATGCTTAATGGCCATCCCAAATGTGCCACTTTATCATGTTTCTTTGACAAAGGTGAAAGATGGCCCTCCTTGTGTTTAGACCTAGATTTCCATTCTAGCTTAGGAGTACACATATACATATACATATACATATACATATACATATACATATATATATATACATATACATATACATATATATATATATATATATATATATATATATATATATATCATGGAGCTTACAATTTAGAACATCGTCTTATTATTTATAATTCTTTAAAAAATAATAAAATAATATTTTTATTATTCATAATACCTCTAATTTTTATTTTTTTATTTTTATTCTTTCTCATAATTTTCGCCTACAAACACTACTATCACTTGCTCTTCTCACGACTCACACACTCTCTTGGATAATTTATAAAAGCTTAAAATATGATATATTTTAAGTTAATACATGTGATTTAGAACATGATGTCTTCTGAGTTATTACAAAGTATATATAATAATAAAAATATTAAAATATTATAATAAACATAAAAAAAAATATTTCTCACATCCTCCTCTCTGACCTTCGATTTATCGTTTTTCATCACCTATATTTTTTTCATCATTTTACATCACCTCCGACAATTAAGAGGAGGAAGAGGAAAAGAAAAAGAAGAAGAAATGAGGGAAACAAAAGATAATCGTAGGTAAGGAGTGAAAAAAATTATGAAAATTAATTTATAGATTAAGGGTACATATATCCATTTTTAAATAGATAACTTAGAAATATTTAAATTTCTTAATGTGAGTTGTAAATAACAAAAAAAAAGAGTTAAAATAGTAATCACCATGTTACATGTATCCATTATGCTTGATTTGTCGCTTTTCCCCCCCTTTTTCCCTCTAAAAAATATTTTATTCTTAATAATAAAGTACAAAATGATAAGATATCATATGTGAAAATATTTTTTATTTATTTACTTTTACTTTTAATGGCAAAGGGTATTCGTTTTTTTAAATTTGTATCCTTTAATGATTAGAAAATAATAGCAGAGAGGACAGTGGTAGACTATTGTAAAATGAATGACAAATGATCATTAGATGCCATAATAAAGGGCTTAGAATCAATAAGAAAAATTGGAGTCCATGATCCAAATGCCTACAAGTTGGCTAGGCAGAGGTGATGGGACTAAGCTTAAGAAAAGCAATGTAGTAAACCTCCTCGTAACCTCACCTCTCTCTCTCTCTCTCTCTCTCTCTCTCTCTCTCTCTATTATGCACTCTTCTAAGTGGTTAACCACAAGGAACTACATGAGCTTTTGCCACAAGTTTCATAAGAAAAATTAAATTTAATTTTCTCATAATTTTAAATCTGATGAGAAAAATTCAATATGGTACATAAAGCTATCTTTGATATAAAATCTAAGGAGGATCAATGCAAACAGTCTTATCCCTCTACAATTAGAAAGTGGCACAGACTCTTATCATCAAAATCAGAAAAAGAACAATCTTATTGATGAGGTATGAAAGCAACGCTCATCAGCATGATACTTTGCTCAAGAGGATTGCCTCTTTTTTTGGGGACTATTTGATAGACTAAGACACACTCAAACTAATAATAGTTTCTTTAATGCTATTTTGGGCAAAATTTTGACTTTGGTATGAATTTATGGGTACATATATATTAGGGTAAAAATACATGTTTGGAATGAAAATATTCTGCATACAATCTCTCTCTCTCTCTCTCTCTCTACACACAGACACACACACACACACATGAATTCTAAAGAAAATCTTTCTTTTTAGATTTTTCTCCAAAAGTGCTTCCCTTTTACAATTCCCTAAATAACACTCTTAATACCTAGCATACCCAATTACCTACCTTTTTTATTTTTCTCTTTTCTTATTACATTACAATTTTTTTCAATAATATAAAAAATGCTACAACTCAGTGTAAACACTATAAATCATAATTTTTTTATAAAATTTGTATACAAATATTATTTTACAGTGTATTATGTCATAGTACTTTTCTAGTATTGCTGAAAATACTATAACATAATGTAAAAACATTATAATTAGATTGATTCATCCTATGACTCAATCCATAGGAAAAGAAAGAAAAAAATGGATAGATGATTAGTTATCAAATCAAGAGTATTTCAGGTTTTTGCCTAAGAAATTATGAAAATATGGTATGGAGAAAGGTCCCCTTTTTTTTGTTTTATTTTGCAAGAATTGACCCAATAATCTAAAGGCTTCATATGCAAACGCACGTAATACATTTTTCCGAAGCCCTAAAAGCTGCACATCCCCATACCACAAGCAAACACCTGAATGTATGTGCATGACAATTATGTTTCTCTTTATGTTAGCTGCCATCTTTCCTTACACCCACAAAGGCTAAAAAGCTTTCTCTTGTGATTGCCAACTCTCTTTTCCTAGTACATCCAAAAAGCTATTCACATTTCTTCGTCAAGGAAGAGATCTCATTCATGAAATCATGCAAGGATCATCGCAAGCTTACTTGCTAAATGATAGGATTGTTTAACGGATTACAAGTGGCCCCTCTCTCTCTCCTCCACGTCGTATATCATCCATCTCATTCTCCACTAAACCCTTCTTATCCACTCGGTGGCTCACAACACACTTGCTTGGCCACCTCCACATCGCTCTTCTCCGTTGAGGTGCAGCCATGTGTTGGTGGTGCATGCTCAGGGAAGATGTGGACAGTTGCATGAGAAAGACTTCCAACTAAGTTACTTCGTATCCTCATGAGGTTTAATAGGACATGGAAGAGTAAGATTAATTGCTTGATGGGTTTCGCTTTCCGTGAGCAGCAGCACGTTGGTCTTTAGATGCACCACCCAAGTCGGAGAGTAGATAGGAATAGGGTGGAGATCGAAGACAACCAGTGCAGTGGCGGAGGATGGTTTCTTCTCCTCCGTTACTTCTCCACCACCGTCGTCGTATTACGGAGGTAGTTTGAGTCTACACGCAGTACCTTCATATAGTGGATGTAGCTTTAGTGGAGGTCAATATATAGTTGGGCAGGACTAGAAAAGTTGCTTAAGATTGATAAGCCTTGAGGATTTGAGATCTTGGAATGCATCTCTAACTTGGCAAGAGACTTGAGGTTTACATCCTCGATGACCATGTTTCATTGTTGTGGGATGATGAAAGCGATGAACATTCTTAAGTCCGCTGACGTGTGCAACAGGTGGGTTATCTACCGAGA